TAGCGAGTTCATGGGTGACAGTAGTGGAGACAGGAGGGAGAGTGTGTAAAGAGATCAAGTTTGAGAGGAAAAGATACACACACGCTCACACACACACACACACACACACACATAGACATATTTTTTTTTAAGAGAGATTTTTGCTATAGTGCATCTGCATTCACTGGAGAGAGAGAAAGATAGAAAGACAGAAAGTGAGAAATCACCCCCCCAGAGGGGATGGCCATGCCTTCTCCTCCATTCTCCTCTTGGAATCTGGGGCATGCACACGCATGTACCCAGCATGAGTTTTAAGCCACTGGGTCTGGACTCAAAGCATAGTTGACTACATGGGAGTACCGTGACATAACCATTATGCCATCTGCTGGTCCCAGAATAGGTATTTTTGACAGAGTCTTGCCATATTGCAATTCTCCTATTCCCACCTCTCAGTTAGCTGGGCTAGAGGCTCATGCAAGGTCCCAAGATTGGGCAGGGAATCACACCTGGGACTCCCATGCAGCTTAAGCCACCATGTGGCAACACCCTCCTGCTTGCGCCATTACAGCTGGGACTATCTGTAACTCTTGGGCTAAATCCAGATCAGGGTAATCCTGCAGAACCATCCTGAATGTGCCAAATATGGACCCATGTCTATCTGTACAAGCTCTGGAGGTAAAAGCCCAGTGTGCTTAAAGGTGAAGTATTCTGTGTCATCTTGCTGCTTAAGGAAATAACAGACACTGGCAGTTATATAACATGAGCAATGTTGTCACACGTTTTTCACTTGTGAGACCCTTTACTTACATGGACTATGATAGAAAAGCCTAATATCTAAACAGATCACATCAAGTCACATGTTGGGTGGGTGGCCCAGATTGTCCCTACCCAACAGTACCTCTCCCTAGGGGGTTTCTCAGGGCCCCTAGAACTCAGAGGACCCTCTCTGGAAAATGGTGACTCTATAAGTCTCTTGGCACTCTATCTACCACCCAGTGGGAGGGTAATTAATTCTTGTCTCAGAGGTAGAGGGAATCAAATATTGTATTTGTGATTTCTGCTTCCAGAATTCCTCTGCATCACACCTTCTTGACATTTCAGACTGGAAGACTGTAGAGAGTATGCAGTGATTTCATGGTCTGAGAGTCTTCGAGAACTTTTTTCCCCCTGGATTTGATGATTATTGAACAAAGAAAGCGTTGGAAGAACAGTATGGCCTCCAATCATCAGAAATGTTGTATAATGACCTTAGACCTGACTCAACAAATAGTCCACACAAGTTTGAGGAAGTGGATCAGATTAAAATATCTGGCTAAAGCATTTTCATTCATTAATTGGTCAGTTTATGTTTTGCTCTATTTTCCCTCATTTTTATTTCTAAGGGAAGTATAACTTACATAGGGTTATTGGGTCATCAAAAAAGTCATGATGTATTTTTCTATGTTTTTCTGTGCAAAAACGCATTGCAACTTTTCCAATGACCCAGTAAGTCACAGGTGCATTTTGACCAAGAGAGCCCACACTTCTGTGATGATACATTTCCATCACTTCAGAAATATCCCTTCTGCCCTGTCAGTGAATGCCCTCTTGTTCACAAGGTAACCATTGTTTCGATTCCTATCACCGTAGGTTAGATATGCCTTTTCAAGAACTGTATAAAAGTAGACTAATGCAGTGTTTGCTCTTTAATACCTCACAGAAATCATCTATAGGAAGCACCCCTATTTTCTTTATGAGTGAATTGGTGTTCTGAGGTGCCCTGGGTTTCCTGGGGGTGGATGCAGGAAGAACTTAAAGGTCCACCTGTAGAGGGGTGCAGTGAAAAAGAGGCTGAGGAGTAGGGCTTATAGCACCCCTTTTCCTCTTCAAATAAAACAACCAGCTTTTGCCCTGTTTTACAAATTGGGATTCACCATAAGATTTCTTTTGGAAAAAAAGGAACAGTTACTTGTGAAAACAAAACAAAACAAAATACCACCGGTCTTGAAGACTCTTAGGGATCCCCTTTCCTTGAATGTTCTATAAATTACAAATGGTGTTTTCTGATATGAGAGCTGTGACTGGGCCCTTTGAGGGAGGGCTGGGAGATAGAGGCAGCCAGACGGGGGCCCCCAGGGAAGGCCTGGGCACCGAGCACTGTAACACTAGCACCAGTTACGATCAGATAGCGCCACCCCAACTGAGGCACCTCGACAATAGGCCAGAGGCCACGGGCAAGAGCAGGCACAAAGACAGCATTCAGAAGACATGACTGGAGCCAGAGATCATTTCTATAGACTGCGCCAGAAGCTGGCCAAGCCTGAGTGTCACCTGAATGGGCAGCCAGGGAGCCATTTTTTCAGAGTTTGCTTTGAAACTGCTAGAAATAATAAACACAGCAAGGAAAGTGCAGACGCAACCTTCAATGCACAAACTGAAACTGTGTTGTTATAATAATGTAAACAAACGGGGTTCCAAATTATAATCCAGTGTTCCAAACAGGCGGCTGGATGTTACCAAACACCTCGGCTCAAGGGAGAATTCAGAAGACTTGGCAGGAAAGAAAAGGGGATCTTCACTGTCCGGGGTGGGGATGGGGGAACTTACGCCCTATCTGATTGCTCTAACCAATGATGTATCGAATTCTGATGCCTTTTTCGGCACTCAAGGAAAATGCATATGGGAGAGGACTGTGGGATCACTGAACACAATTTTCCAGCGTAACAAGTGAAAAAATGGTTTCTTTCTCTTACTGTCCTGTCACCGCTCTTTTTCTTCCCAAGGAGGAATCTTTAGCATTCTTTTTCTCTTTTATGTTATGTTTTTAGCCCATTCAATGTTTTATATTTCTCCCAAATACCAACAGAGTTCAAAAGTGTGTTGAATACCAACAGCAGCAATGTCACCAATGAGAAGATAATTCCCATCATGCTAAAAAGCAACAATTAATAGCAAAGATCACAAGTCTGTAAATAGTCAAGTCAAGCTTGACATCTGACCTTCTTATTCATTAAATCATGTGTGGAACTTGGCACCCACGCAGCTCAGCCAGCGAGAGGGAAACCGCAGATCTGGAAAAAAGGAAACACAAGAATATAAATATAAGTTTTGTTTTTTTTTTAAAGTTCCCTAACATTTGATTAATCTGCTACTGCTCTTATTTCTATGTTTAAAAAGAGTCTGGTTTCAGAGCTGTCTCTGATTTTGAATAAATGCTAGTAGACTTAGATAACATCTTTTTCTCAAGGAGAGATGGTTTCAAGGAAAGGAACTTTAACACCAAGACTGTAACAACACATGATAGGCATGGGACAACTTTCGTGGCTCTCAAGGACTGAACTTTTCTATGGAGTTTCAGGAGGAAAACCTAAGAGCTTAGAATTCCCAGTATCTAGGAAGATGCCGAAAAGGCTAGCTGTTGGGATATTTTGCGTTAGGAGAGTCCAGCTTCGCAGGCTAGGTCTGAACATATAAACGGTGACTGCCACATGGCATCTGGAGTGAAATGAACAGGATGGGCATTGGAGCCAGAAGGCATGGCGCCGTCTCTGGTGGTAAGTGCAATACTATGGGAAACACTCCCCCCAAGCACAAGCAAAACAGAAAGGCCCCTAAAGAGACCCCAACTCTATATACATTGCAGAGGGGTCTTCAGGTATGTGCATGGCAAGAGAGGACTTTTCAACTGTGTTCCCACAATATTTGCTGATGTCACAGGGAACTTAGAAATCACAGGAAAACTGAGATGAGTAGAGCAAACATCAGGTTCCTACCACCCAGAAGAACCAGGAGTAATGTTTTTGCTATACCTGTTCTTTTTTCTTTTAATGAAAAGATTAGAACCCAGGTATGATCTTCTTGATAATTTCTCATCAGGCCCAGACCATGAATTTGTAATTTGTTTATAACTTTTCTTCTTTCCTTTCCTTTCTTTCTTTTTCCTTAATTCTTAATTTCTTTATTATTATTATTTTATACATTCAATTGCTATACATCATTTAGCTTGTAAAAAGCCTTTTTTTTTTTTTGAAAAAAAAGCATTCATATACACCTACGTGTATCCAGGGCAACGAACCGTGTCTCTGTAGTTTCAATTTACCTCTACAATATAAATCTCTACGTGCATGTCTCATTCTACATTTCTGACGCAACATTATGGGGGCTCTAAGCAGGCTGATCTGTGACAGCTCATTCCTTTTAACTGCCACATTAAATAAATATACACTCGGTTATTGTCTTTTCTCCAACAGCCAACATTTATGGTTCCATAAAAGCGCTTGTTATATCATTAAAGTGATTGTTGGTTAAGTGTGGGTGTGCATATGTATGTGCAAATGTCTCTGCTACTTGACTCTGGGTTTCTGAAGATGCTGCCTTGTCTTGTTTTAATAGTGACTCTTCCATCCTAGGACTCTGTGCAGAATGGAAACTCAATAGATTGAAAGGCAAAAGAGATTTATTAAAAATTGATCTGCTGGCTCAGCCCCTAAACTAGTGGTTAAGGGAACAGCATTTCACACGGCTGACCATAGTTTGAATCCTCCTCCTCTGACTTGACAAACAACATCCAGACAGGCTGGAAAAACAGAGAAGGGATTGTGGTGTGACCACACCCCATTGGGAGGTGCTTTCTCCTTTTCTCCCTCTGTGTTTCTGTCTCTCCCTTTGAGTGCACACACCCTATAGCAATAAAAAAGTTGATTTGCTTATCATTAATTTCCTTCTTTTTCAAACATCAAGGATGACTTTGAAGTTGTGTCTATTTCCTTCCAACTCTCTTTCCACTGTTCTTGTCATAAAACTTCATATCCCCAAATCTCCCACTTGACCTGTTTTCTAGAACATCAGACACTCTGACAGTATAAGACTGAGGTCCAAAACATTTAAGAAACATTTTAATAACATTCTTAATGGTTAACAAAGTCAGGAAGAAGCTTATGTTTGTAAGGGTTGTTGTCATGGCTTTATGGTGATTATGAATAAATGTACATCACTCTCTCTGATAATAATATCTAAAAGCCAACAGAACCTTTTGTAAAAACAATGCTGGATCTCAATATATTTTACGAGAGCGTGATTCTGATTTAGACTTTGGAGAATATGGATGAACTTGACTCTATGAAAACAACCTAAAAATCCTTACATTCTAAGAGGTGTGGTATTATCGGTTGAAGATATTTTGTAGTTTTATCAACTGTGTTAGGGAGAAATCTCACCTGTTGAAATATCCATTTTGTAAGACAAATAATAATGTGATTGAATGTATGGAAAAAAATGAAATAAAAAAATAAATAATAGTATTTTTAAAATGCTTTTTTATTTTTCATTTTTATAATTTCACCAGAGAGTGTGTGCACTTGCCAGAGAGAGACAGGGAGAGAGAGAGAGAGAGAGAGAGAAAGCAGCCCTCACTGGGGTGTGATCATGCCACAATCCCTTCTCTAACTCTCATCTTTTTATGATTTTGGGTCCCAGAGCCTTTTCAAGCTGACAGGGCCAGGATTCAAACCTCATGTTTGGCCATGTAGGATCTAGCTCCTTTACATACTAAGCCATGAGGCTGGCCCAATAATAATAATAGCATTTTTATGCTACTAAGCCATGAGGCTGGCCCAATAATAATAGCATTTTTATGTAGTACATTTGTCAAGTACAATTTATAGGTTGAGTTGTGGTAATTATTTCACCAATTTTCATGTACTTAAATCTCATCATGACCAGATGAAGGGATATAACTAATAACTTCATTCTCCAGATGAAGAAAGAAGAGATAGAGTAAGAATAAACATTGGTCCACAAACAGTAAAGAAGCAGCTAACCAGGAATCTCCCTCAGGTAGTCTGATGTCATGGGCCTTGTGAGTGACAGAGAAAACGCTTGATTTAAAAGATAAAACTGCCTAGAAGAAAACTCAGAGGGAAAAAAAAAGTGTTCCTGAGGTAATTTCTGACTTTTGCTATATAAAAAACACACAGCATCTGTTTCATGAAGTGCCTCAAACCAAGATGAAACAAAATGCAGAGTTCTTCAGGTAGACAAATTCGAAGTGATTTCCCTGTGATGAAGGAAAGTTAAAGAGGAAGATCAAATCCCATACCAACCCAACTTAAACATACCCATTTTCCATTCTTATTCCCTTCAGGACAGGGAGTTAGGAATTCAGTCATGGTTTAAAGGAGATTGCCCAGTTTTGTTTATGCAGGATTCAAAGTAAAAAATGACAATCTCCCCAGGGGACAATTTTAGCTCTGAATGTGTATTCTTTACACATTTTCAATTGGAGCACAAATATATTAACAGTGTGGTTATTTTGTAGTTTCAAGAGAATCTGTTTTGTAACTGATTCATATTTATATTTGGAATACATTTATTTCTGGGCATGAAACAGTTCATTTTGTGAAGCCATCTGACTTGAGGTGACGTTGGCACTGTTTCCCATGACTGCTCCCAATTAATGCAAATGGAAGGTTAAAGGACAAATAAGCCTCCTTTAACTTGGTTTACTAATATGTTATTTATAAATGGCTCTTTACTTGGTCAGTTTTTTGGGAAGAGGATAGTCATTTTGTGCAAATGAAACCACAAAGAACAAACTCACAAATACCTAACACGTATCTTATTGCAAAGTTTATAAAGGGTTAAATTTACATTTAATTTCATTTTAAAAGGGTTACTACAGCAAAAATGTGATTCTATCCACCCATCTGTCTAGCTTTTATTTTTATTCTTAGATCTCATCAAATCTTACTGAGCCTGAGATGTATTTTTTGCATTAATGGCCTACATTATTATTATTTTTTTAATGGTTACATAGTATCCTGTTATGTCATTAAATCATAACCATACTTATTGAAGGTCAGTGAAGATTTTTTCTTCTGCTGTTCCAAACAGGACTACAATGTTTAACCTTTTGTAAGTGCCATTTCTCACCATAAAAGTTAACATACAGCATACATTTTAAAAAATAGAACTGGTGGGCCAGCAGGTGGCATGGAAGGTATGATGACAGGATCTTACATGGTTTGAGTCCCAGACCAGGCAGTTTGAGAAGCATGCCAAGTGCATGTGTGCCTAAAATCACAAGAGGAGAATGGAGAAGAGACTGTGGCATGGGCATCTCCTTGGGTGGGGTGGGGAGGGGATGATTTCTAACTGTCCCTCTCTCTGTCTCTTTGGTGAACATTTGTATCCTGTAACAAAACTAAAAACAAAAACAAAACACTGGAATGCCATTCAATGAGAATGTACATGTTACATTTTGATTGACATCTTTAAATTAGACTCTAAACATTTTAATTTGTACTCCATGTCTGAAAGTCTTGTTTTTCTAAACCTTTGCTAAACAATGTTATTGACCATTATTTGACAGCAAATAAATGAGATACTGCTTCGAATCCACATGTCTCTCGAGGTAAGTGAAGCTGAGAATCTTTTGATATGTTTAAATGTTATTTGTATTTCTTATTATATAAATTTTCCTGTTTTGTTTCCTTCCTCCTTTTTTTCCTCCTTTCCTTCCTCCCTACCTTTATTTCCCCAGTGGTTTGCCCATGCTTTTTTCCCCTTTTTCTGCTAGGTTGGTTCCAGTAGACAGTTTAATGGTTACATTGCTGAACTCCCACATAGTTGATGACAGTTTGAGTCCTGGACCCAGTGGCTTGAAATTCACACTGGGCACATGTGTGTGTGTGTGCCCAAAATCTCAAGAGGAGAATGGAAGAGAAGGGATTGTGAACTGACCATCCACCCTCGGAATGATTTCTCACTTTCTGTTTCTCTGTCTCTCTAGCAAGTGCATGTACCTTTTAGCAAAAAATCTCTCTAAAAACATTATTTTTTTCTTGTGGTAAGATACTTAACGTGAGATTTAGCATCACTGCAGAGTCTTCAGTGCTCAATGTAGTATTGTGACCAACAGCTAGGAAGCTTCTCCCTCCACCCCCACCCCATCTACTCATTCATCAAGTAACTTTTCAGCCCCTTTCACTGAAGAGGTTGCATTTATTTTCCTGCATCCTATCATGTGATTTCTTTTTAGGGCATGGGATTCTCTTTGGCCAATGGAATGTTA